TAGTCCAGATATTGTTCAATGTATTCATGGTGTTGTTTTGTTACATGGTGAGCTTCTCAAAAACATAATGGTTTGAGACATTTGCCCCTCCTATTAGATTGTAAGCTCTCACGAGCAGGGCCTTCCTACCTCCTGTACCGAAATTGTATTGTTAATTTTATTGTCTCCCCCAATTTTGTAAAGCGCTGCGCAAACTGTTGGCGCTTTATAAATCCTGTATAATAATAGTTACAAATTGTTGATGGTAAAGTGCAGGGGTCTTGCAGGAGCACATGATCACTCTTTTAGGAGCCATGAAGTTATGTTTGAGCAATTTTAATTGCTTGGTGGCGTACCCCACTTTTTTTTATTCAATAAAGTAACAAGGGGGTATTTTCAGAGTGTGGAGCCCACCACAGTACAGATTGTATGTCTTTGACCAGTATTGGGTCACAACTGGGCACTCCCACCAAATGTGGGCAAAAGTGTCCTCTGTTTAAGAACCCCTGAAACAATTCAAAGGGTACGAAGGTTAGGCTTTGGAAAACCTATTTAGGACTAAACACCGTCTCATGAGTGAGTTATAATTGGTTTCTAAGGCTGAGCGCTTTTAGAGGTGGAGGCCGAAATTTGCGTTTGACTTGTTAGTTTTCATCACTTCCCCAACTTAATAGCCAAAGTAAACAGATTTTGGGACCTTTCTAACTTCAAAGTTAATTTATAGAAGTCAGAAGCCCTCAATATTACCCTCACCCCAACTTGATTAGCCAACCTCTTAGACAGTTTTCCATTTCGATGAGCGAATGATCATATTACTTTTCTGGGTACTAATGCAACTCCTAAAGATTTTCATTTCAAACTTCCTTCTTAGAGCACTCAAAAAGGACCTGAGCAGATGGGACAAGTTGTCCAACACATGGTTTGGTAGGAAGGAGATCCTAAAGATGAACCTGCTTCCTAGATCCTCTACCTCTTTTCAAACCCTACTGATCGTCATTCCATCCTCCTTCCTATGAACTCCATGCTGAGATGTTATACAATTATTTTGGGCCAAGTCCTACACCGCAGATAATGTATAAGCTCCTCACTTTACAAAAGGCCCATGGGAGTATAGGATTTCCTAATCACACTACTATGAACTATGAACTATGATGGGACCCACCATTCCAGAATGGCACCAGAACTCCCCACCACAAACAAGGGATCATACTGGAACAGGCTAACTCACATATAACTCTTAGTTTCCTTCCTCGGGTGGAAGCCCAACATGTTAGGAATATGAAAGAATCACCCTCTTATCGGCCTGTCTCTCAATAGGTTTTTATGCGGTGTCAGGCATATTAAGCTTAGCTTATTCATGGTCACTTATAAACCCAATAGTGGTTCACCGAGACCTTAACATTTCTCCCATTCCTTCATAGGTAACACATTTAGACAAAGATTTTGTTGCATGGTCTAGGCTTCTGCAGACATCCAGTCTATGATAGAGGCACCCAAGGTTGGGTCCAAGTCCCTCAAACACTGTTTGAATGCATGTTCTGTGAAAAGGGAGCCATGTGCCACCCCCTCTATCTGACATACAAACTCTTGATCCACCCTTTGAACTCCTTTGCCCCACCATTTTTGTGGATGTGGAGAAGAGACCTGAATATAGTGCTCACCTCTGAGCAAGGAGAAGTTACCTTATACCTCTCTCACCGTGCCTCAATAGTCAGCAGAGTTCAGGAAACTAACTATAAACTTCTAACTGGATGGTACAGAGTGCCCTCAGTGCTCCATAAGATATAGCCTCAGGCCTTCCACCTATGATGGTGATGTGGAGACTCAGAGGGCAACTTTTTATGCATTTTCTAATCCTGTACTAAAGTAGAGAATTTTTGGTCTGGTGTTTTGACACCTTAAATGAAACTGACTGATGTTGATCTTATAGACAACCCAGCGGCCTACCTTCTACATCTGACAGGTCTGCTGAGAAACAGAAATAAATATTCTCTCCTGATCCATCTCCTCAATGCGTCCAAACTGTGCATCCTTGCCCTCTGGAAGCAGTCTCACCCTCCCTCGATTGTTCTATGGTGCTCAAAAATTAGGGATATCAAACAGATGGAGGATCTTACAGCCTCCTTGAGACACCAAGAGGAGAAATTCCATTTAATGTGGTTCAACTGGAGGGGATACACACTTCCCGATACTGCAGACAGGTTTTGCTAAGCAAACAACTCTCTATGGCCCAGATTTATAGAGAAACACTCTTTCTTCCTCCATCCCCATTCCCATCACACTTGCCTTTTCCCCCTCCTTCCTCTTTCTTCTCCAACCTCCCTTTCCTCTCAGTTCCTTCCCAATCCAACCTCCCCAAGCGGGACTCTCTACCCTTACCCTTTGCTTCCTTCATGGCTGAACCCCCCCACTATGACCGACCAGAGTCACTTTTTGGCTCCTGCCAAGTTCCCTCATTATTGTTACTAGATGGGCTCTCAAATGCACGGAACCAGCCTGGATAATATATTTAGAGACCTAACTTGCTGATCTTCAGAAAAGAAAACCTGTTATGCTGGGCACATACCTTACAACCATCGCAAGACTTTTGTCGCTTGAGCACACCGGCCTGTCCGGCTTTTATCTTACGAACATGCTACACACCCGCTGAACATCGTATGATTCTCGGCGGGTTTTCGAACATGTTCGTAAGTTAAAACAACGCAATTAAAGATACGCAGTTCAACATGCAATAAAATGCGGCTCAACGCGTTAAGAAATACATGTTAACATGCGTAAAAATCAATCCACTCTCTGTATGTTGTTTTTTTTTTCGTGTGTTGTGGTGTGAATGAGTCCTCAACAACACAATTCCAGCTTTGTACTCAGGCTGCACAGCATCACATTATTGAAAACATAACACCAGCACTGCTGGGAAGCGTGTGAAGTAACTCGCAGCTCCGCTCAGAGAATTTTTCTCGCCCCTCGGCCCAGCCGAGCGTAATTAATTCTGGAATCCCATAATGATGGGGAGGATCGGTGACCAATAAACGAGCGGAGCTGAAAAGACAGTCAACGATTTCTATCGTGCCAAGTCCGTCTCTGAGGCATTGCCTCCCCCCACTCCTCCCCAGAAAATGGGAGGCATACAAAGTTACTAAAGTATATCTAAACCCAAGAACAAAAAATTTCATATCAAAAATAAGTAGACCCCGCGCCAGATGCGTGATAGCAGCAACACTGAAATAATATGATAATATTATTGAAAATGATTAAAATAATAATTAATTAATAGTTTTTAATATAAAATGTCATATGTTGCAGCTTTCCGGTCATTAGATGAGGCAGTGGCGTCACAAGGGGGGTGCGGCCCGCACCCGGGTGCCACCATTGGAGGGGTGACAGTCATTTTGTTGTCACCCCAATGAACAGTGTCAGGAGAGAGGAGGGGACCCGGCAGCATACCTCATCCCACCGGGTGAACGTCCCCTTCTCTTTTTGCCAGCGTCCATCACCAAGATGGCCGCCGGCAGGAGTCTATTAGATGACTTCATCGCTCAAACATGCAGCGACGTCATGCTCATGTGTGATGACGTCACCGCAGGGTGTCACCCGGCCTCGGGACGCCCCTGAGATGAGGTGGCTGCATTTGTTTTCTTATTTTAGGCTTAGTACATTTTCTGCAGGTTGAACCTGCCGGAAATCTTGTGTCCACCCCTGTAACTTCCTGAGCACTGAATTAAAATCTCAATGTTTGCAGTATTCCCAGCTATCCTGTGTGAACAAAAATAATTCTTCTGTGGAGAAGGGGAGCTGTTTGCAGTCCAAATCAATTTACCAGATTTCAGTCAGTTAAATGTCACTGGCCCTACTGATGTCAATTATTGGCCTAGACCACAGGCATAACTATACTAGAGACCCGTGATATACACAGCACTGTCACCCAGCACAGCCCTGTCTGCTAATGGAGGAGCTTTGATTTGACTGCAGTTCAGTAACAATACAAGTCTTGTCAGGGGCGTCCCGAGGCTGGGTGACACCCGGAGCGGTAACCGAGTGTCACCCCGCCGAGACGTCACTGCGCACGCGCAGCAGTACTCTGATACCTGCCGGCGGCCATCTTGGTGATGGACGCCTGTAGAGAGAGGTGGGGACATTATTGATACCTGCCGGTGGCCATCTTGGTGATGGACGCCTGTAGAGAGAGGAGGGGACAGCCACCCGGCGGGATAAGGTATGGCGCCGGGTCCCCTCCTCTCTCCTGATACTGTCGGGCGTTCGGTCCATGACCGAGCGCCCGACTTTTCAGAGGGGGGGTGACACCAAAATGACTGTGAGTCATTTTGGTGTCACCCCTCCAATGGTGTCACCCGGGTGCGGGCCGCACCCCCCTTGTGACGCCACTGAGTCTTGTACCTCCCCAAGCATTGACTGGACAGTGAAAGAAGAAACAGCAGACTGATGAGCTCATCTCTCTGTCACTCTGTTCTCCTATCAGCATGCTCCTTGTTAGCACTGCAGCACAACCGATTAGCTCCCTGTGCTGCTTCTCCCTCTCAAGAGGCTGACAGGTCAAACACAGGTACTTACACTGATTGCATTAAAAAGAAAAATTATGTATTAATTAATTAATACAGAGCTGCATTCACTTTGTCTTTTATATCATTAATTCTTATAGGACTGACCTGACTGGCTGATGCTGAGGTTCACAGAGGCCTGTTTTGGCTGTTCAGCGCTCAGTTCGGACACCTTATTGGTTGACTGCACCTCCATGGTGTAGGCCACTCCCGGTAGGAGACCAGTGAGATGGACACGTGTCTGGGTGAGGTCCACCTGGCCGGGTCTGAACATCACTCCATCCCCGCACCGGAGGCAGCGTCCATTCATACACTCTTTACACGCCACTGAATACAGGACCTCCTTCCGACCTCCCAAGTCCTTAGGAGTCCTCCAGGTCAGGGAAATACCTCCGGGACCTGTCACTTCATAATTCATATCCCAAGGTGGCGAAGGGGGTCCTGGAACAGAAGAGAGAGTTTACATAGCAAATGGGGTACCAGACACAGGAAATCCACCCCATGGACCTTTCATCTGAGTTTTGTAGAATCCGACTCTATATATAAATGGAGAACCTACGACAACTATGTTACAATGTGTGATTGGGTGACTCAGGCCTTTCCACTATATATCCCATCTCATAATACCTGAGCACAGAGGTTGTTGCAAGTCCTTTATTGCTCCCTCTCTCTGGTCATAATTTGGTAGCAATCTCTAGAGGGCAGCTGTGACAATGATGTGTAAAAAAAAGTATATTACGCTGTGTTCATTGCACTTGGATACATTGATATACTTGCTCCTTCCCTGATTTGCTGCAGGTTCTTTTTTGTTATTGATCAGTGAAGGGTTACGAGTCGACCTCTATCACGTGTTTGTTGCCGTTTGAAACCCCACCTTTCTCAGTTAGGTTCCGTGGTAGACTAAGGTTCCTCCAGAGGTTGCTAACGATTCCTTGAGCAATAAGCAACTTCTGCCTCTCAGATAAGACACCTCTGACACCAATAGTCTTTTCATGTAACTGTAAGGGGAGTATTCTTCTCAATGACTGCCAATCTTAGGAGCATTTGTTCCACTGACCACCAATGTAATGGATATCTTTCCAACTGGACACCAATGTTAGGGACATTCTTTGCAATGCACACCAATAAAAGGGACATTCTTTGCAATGCACACCAATAAAACGGACATGCTTCCCACTGACCACCAGTGTAAGTGAAATTCTTCCCACTATCAGTGTTAGGGGTCACTTCTCTACTGACCCCCAATGTAAGGTATATCTTTCCCACTGGACACCAATGTAATGGACATTCTTCGCAATAAACATCAATATAAGGGGCATTCTTCCCACTGACTATCAGTGTAAGGGGCATTCTTCCCACTGACTATCAGTGTTGAGGGTCACTTCTCTACTGATCCACAATGTAAGCGATGTTCTTTCCAAATGACCATAAAAATTAGAGGAATTCTTCCTACTGACCACCAATGTAAGGAACATTCTTCACACTGACCACCAATGTAAGGTGGAGTATTGTTCCCACTGACAACCAATGTACTAGGAACCTTCACTGACCACCAGTGTACAAGGGCACGTCTCAACTGACCATCAATGTGAGGGGCCATTACTATTTCCTCTCTGGCCAATATTATTTGTTTCATTTCTTTGTATCACTGAAGCTGTATACAGCAGTCCTTTGTGTTGAGTCCACCAAGTAGACCACATTCCCTATTCTGATTATTTATTCTCTTATATACAACATTCCTGCTGATAATGTCTTGTGGGCGGTAGATGTAATCATTGCTATCAGGGGTTCCCTGGGACCTGTACGTTATTTCAGGGGTTCCTCCATGTTATCAAGGCTGAGAAAGGCTGCTCTGGATGTTAGTAGTATTACTACACTGAGGTAGCAGTTCTTGTCTCATTCTGTGGCCTCCTCCTGTCATTGTGTTCCTGGTACTCACCTGTACAGGGAGAATTTGGGGACTCCTCGGGGGTGCGGTAGAATCCCTTGTTACACGTACAAGTAAGTGCCCCGGAAGTTGTAGAGTTGCTGTTACTTGGGCAAGAATGACAGCGATCTGTTGAGGCATCGGACGGGTTGTATGTCCCAGGCTGGCACGCTGCGGAAAAACATAACGGACAGAAATAGATGAGAAATCCCAAATTTGACATTGGTCATCAGAACTAGAGGAGAGGGCGGTAAGGGGAAATCATCCAAGGGCAACACCCAATCCAATGACAGCTGACTTGCAGGAAATTCTCAACCCTACAAAGTTACAATGTTGCAGTCTAATCACTGGGGGAGGGGAGACTGAGGAAATGCTTTCTCCTGCCTGCAGCAGACTGATACCATCATCTCAGCTGCACAAAGTGAGAGATTAGCTTGGAGATCAAAGATGACTTTGTATCTGCCTCTGCCATTGTCTAAATGACAGAAATTTCTGCATGTATCCTTTTTTTTTAGTGCACCAACTTTTGACGTGCTCCGCCATGCGCAAGGAATGAAGCGGCATGCAAATGTAATGTAAATGTGTGTGAATTTTGTGTAAGTGCCTGAACACGGCTCCCTGGGATTCCCATGCTGCTTCAACCTTAATTAAGGCTTCCTTCAGCCGAGCCTCTGCAGGCGGAGACATTTCTCTCTCCCTCAATATTCAGAGACACGGCCCTTCTACATGGATGAACAGGAGTGACCGCAGGGGACCGCGCAGGCCAAATACTTCACTAAAATAGCCAGCCTGTGACTCAACCATCTCTCGTTCCGGAAGCTGAAACGCGGTTGCGTTAATTAATGCTCGTTACATATCATTTGTGATACGCTCCGAGCTGACCTCCCGGGCTGAAATAGGTTCATGCAAATGTGTCCCTCAATACCCACCAAGGATCCAAATCTGCTTTGTGTGCACCAAATGCCTTTGCAAATGCTGATTACAGGAAGGGGTGGGTGAGATAGTGTCTGGTCTGGTCTACGCCCCCTCCTGTAATAAAGACCGGTCACTGCTGCTCTCTCTCCTTGCGTAGGATTACTGGTCTTGTCTCCACCCCTTCCAGCAATAAAGACCGGTCTCTGCTGCTCTCTCTCCTTGCGTAGGATTACTGGTCTTGTCTCCACCCCTTCCTGCAATAAAGACCGGTCACTGCTGTTCTCTCTCCGTGTAAAGGGTGACTGGTCTGGTCTCCACCCCCTCCTGTAATAAAGAACGGTCACTGCTGCTCTCTCTCCCCTTGTGCAGGGTGACTGGCCTTGTCTCCGCCCCCTCCTATAATATAGACAGGTCACTGCTGCTCTCTTCATGTGCAGGGTGACTGGTCTTGTCTCCGCCCCCTCCTGTAATAAAGACGGGTCACTGCTGTTCTCTCTTCATGTGCAGGGTGACTGGTCTTGTCTCTGCCCCCTGCTGTAATAAAGACTGCTCACTGTGCCCAGAGTTCAGCACTAAGGAATGTTTGTACAATGTGGCATCCATGCCATTAAGAACTGAGAAAAGAGAAACCCTGCCTAGTATTAAAGGAGAACTATGAGGTGAGTGCTTTTCACTCACCTCATAGTTCTAGCCGACCTGTGACAATGAGACTGTCACAGGTCGGCTCAGTAGATCGGGAGGTGAGCGAACACATACCGGCGTTCGCTCACCTCTCGATTCTGTCACGGCTCTCTGCCGTGACAGGGGGAGGGGCTGGATTCCCCCCTCCCGCTCCGATCCACCAGCGCTGACTGGCGGAACGGACGAGGGAGGAGGCGGGTACAGCTGGCTCTGCCTCTAGATAGGCAGAGCCAGCTGTCACTCACATAGCTGGGCAGATCTCGACATCAATGTCGGGATCCGCTCCGGCTGCGGCGTCTCAGTATATAGTGAGCTGTAGCTTGCGGTATACTGAGCTTAGGGTAACGGGAGGACACTAGTTTGTGTCCTCCCGTTACCCTAAGGAGAACTATGGGGAAAAGCCCTAACCCCATAGTTCTCCTTTAATGTAGTATTCCTAATGAACTACTTTTGTGGAAGTGGAGCCTCCCTTTAAATAGTGTTTTTCTCCTCGCCGGGAGTTCTCCTTTAATATTGATATTGCGTTTCTAATCCCCCCGCACTCATAATGAAAATGCACATTTGGGAGCATCTTGTCGGCTTCTGTCTGACGTTCTTTTTTTTTCCCGGAGTGACATTTCACTCTACAAGAGGCAGAAGTCTGTTCACGCTTTGGGGCTGGTGACCTAGATTCATCAGGGGGGAAGATAAATGTTTAAGATTTTGTTTTCCTCTTGCCACGGGGAACAAAGTAATAAAAATAAAAAGGTGGACAGTGCCTCGGCGTGATGTCGCAATCATGTAAAGCAATGAAACAATGAATATTTCACCGGGAATGGAGTTATAAAATGTCACCGGTGCCCCTCCGATCCATCAAGGCGCCCCGTGTCACCACGGCCAATCAGATTCTTCTTGACGTTTACAACCTTTGCGGATAAATAAATGGCTACAAAATTTGACTTCTCCAATTTCCTTAGGGCCCATTGATGCCACTGTTGTCACGTCTCAAGGTGCGCTGGGTTCATGCAGCCCATTCAAAGGGCTGGTAGACCACCTTAAAGAAAACCTCATCAGCCTAAAAATTTGCAGGTAAAAGCATAGAAAATTCAAGTACAGGCAGTCCCCGAGTTACATACATCCGACTTACATCCGACTCCTACTTACAGACGGAGGCTATTACTGTACAGCAGGGGTAGTTATGATGCTACCGCACTCATGCCGACAAGGAGTGCCCACCTTTTTGGGTCTGGTTCGTAGTACTGTATGTACATTACAGGAAGTTGGCTCTTGTTAGACGTACAGACGAGGGGTGCCCACCTCTTCTTCCGGGTCACTGAATGGTTTTTGCTGCGGTCTGTATCATCATTAGAACAATTTAATCTCACTTCCTGTCCTTGAGACAACAGGAAGTGAAAGGAAATCTACTCCTAGGAAGGGAAATTCACTCCTGTAAGAGTGATCATGGGAAAAAGGTGTCTCCACTGAAGCTTTATCACCAATCCTTGTTTCCACGACAACCCAAAATGTTAAAAATCCAATTGTCACAGGGACAGAAAGTGAGGTGAAATCTTCTGAAAAGGGGCACACACAGCCAAAATAAACTTTACAGGGGGTAAACCCTTCCCTGTGCTATCCAAAACAAACAAAACAAATTTTGGCTGGAGTTGCACTTAAAACATGTACCTGTTCCAACTTATATACAAATCCAACTTAAGAACAAACCTACACTCCCTATCTTGTTTGTAACCTGGGGACTGCCTGTATGTAATTAAAATAAACAAATTTAAATTGAATTAAATTAAATTTAGTTATACCTAATTAAATTCAAGTATCACAACCCTTGGGCTGGCACTACATTTTTTTTTATTCTTTGTCATGTTTAAATTCCCAAAAAGAAATACATTCAAATTATGAATTATTATTTTTTAAATTATTATTATGATTGTAATTTTTATTATTATTGGATGATAATGATGATGATTGTTATTTTTATATTTTTTATTAGTAGTAGTAATAGTGTCTTGTACATAATAATAATAATATCACCATCAGATGGGAGGTCAATCAGCCACTGTTCAAGGAACCCCAAGCAACCTTTGAAACCCTTGTGTTCCATCGAACTCTGGTTGAGAATGGCTGCTCTATCACTTTTATTTAACTTTACATTTTTGTATTTTAGGTTTATTGATCATTGGTGTCATGCCGCAGTCTCTGGTTATGCAGGCACCATCAGATAGGAGGTCAGTCAGAGCATTCTACCCCCAACAACCACATAAGGAGCTCTAGCATTCCACAGAACCCTGGTTGAGAATACCTTCTCTAACTCTTATATATAAGATTACTCTTTTGTATTTTGGGTTTTAATGATCCTTCAAATCCAGAAACAAATATAGATAAATAATTAAAGAGAGAGACATTTTTTGTAAACATATGGAGAGGGATATAAATAGAGACTGGTAGCGGGGCGCAGGGGAAGAAATGACTTGGAAACAATCAGAATATGTAGCCCCGGGCGGTGTGCAGCGCTGAGTGTCTTTTCATGCTGCTTGTGTATGCGTCTTTCTGTATGCGGTATTGTTACCAGCCACCCGAGCCCGGATAAAAGGTTAGGGCAGCTACAAACATATGACAATAAACTTTCAGCTCCGCTAGGCACTTTGTGCATCTAAAATGGCCACATAACACAGATTCATTAACATTTCTGAAAAGTGGCAACGTTCTCCACCCTGCTTCCCGTTTGGCTTCCCTGCTCTACATTTAGCCCTGCTTGCCCAAAGCAGGGCTAAAACAACTACCCGTCCGGCGACCAGAACCGAATGTCCCGGGCGTCAGGGGATTCCACACCTCTGCCGTCCCCTTGCTCCCTGCCGCCCCTCTGCGCCCTGCCACCCCTCTTCCGGGCCTCGGTGGCCCTGTGGCAAATCCGGCCCTGAGCTTGAGGCATCTTTTCACAATTTCATTTCTTCCATCTCTCTTATTGAAAAAAACTATTGTTTACAGGGCTCAGTAGCTTAAGCTCAAAGTTGCACGCACAAGAGTCAGCTCAATGGCCACTTCCTTACCAGATGTGGTTTCAGTTATACAAAACACAAGCCAAAAGGCATGCAGTTATTGCTCTGCTGTCTCCGTACATGGCAAGCGGGGCTCTCGGAACCCTTTGGCACGTTTCAAACATTTCTTTGAAAGACAAAGATTGAACGTATTTGATGTAGTGAACGAACAAACAAAACATCGGATTAAATGTAAAAAAAATTATGGAAACCAGCAATGAACTTATTATTTCAGTTCAATAAGTGCAAAAAAGTATCTGTTGATCCTGCCAGAAATCCAGTGAGTTCAGAATGTCTCTTCCCTATGTTATGAAGCTAAGGTGAGTAGGAGGTGCTCTGTACTCCTAACATGCCCTTTCTTAAGTGCTGTTCGTGGGATATGCATGTAATGATACACGCCCCTTGAAATGTCAGTTTCTTTGCTGTTATTATTTTAGAGTTTTGATTTATTTTTTTTATTTTTTTTAAGGAGGATTGGAGGGCCACCACAGAGCCCCTTCTTCCTTCTCAAAGATTGTTCCCAGCTTGAATTAATATCACGGTTTAAATTTAAGTTTTCTGTGTTGTTTTACTACATCGCTAGCCAGAGGTTCGCATGTTTGAGATATACATGCCGAACCAATGTGGTTGATCACTGGCACTAATTCTGAAGGTTCCAGTGTTGATTTTTATTATTCTTATTATGTTTGTGTGTTGAACCTTCTAGTCATATGTAAATAATCCTCTTGCATCAATTTTTTCACACAGATTTTCGTAATTTTACACAGATTTGTTTATTAACACTTTAGTGTGTAGTTGGTTCACATAGACCGAGCGCAGCATATTTGCGTTACATTTATTCACCTATACACATTGTTGCGGCTGGTCCAATCAGGTAGTTAGGCACGCATTCCCAGCGCAGTGATTTCTGTGATATACTATTTGATCTCCAACCCACCAAGACCAACCAGCCAGCAGTGGTCATACACCCAAGACTTCTTCCCGATCCAGCTGATTAGCTGAGGGTCATCTCACATTTGAAGGCAGCATTATAAAGACCCTCCGCAACCTGGCTGCAATAATCTAAATTTGTATTCTTGGGTTTAGAAACATTTTAATATGGTGGACCAATACACAGGCATGACTCCACCCCATGGAGCTTTAGGGCGGATGTCACATCAACACATACGCTCATTTTCAACTGGTTGGTCTTGGTGGGTTGGAGATCAAATGGAGCTGGTCCATTTGATATCCATGCCACTAAGCTCAACCAGCCAGCAGTGGTCAAACACCCGAGATTTCCCCTCAATCCATCCAATTGACTATGGGTCATTTTATATCCAAAGGCAGCATTATAAAGACCCACCACAACCTGGCTGCAATAATCTAAATTGGTATTCTCGGGTTTAGAAACATTTTAATATGGTGGACCAATGCAAAGGCATGACTCCACCCCATGGAGGTTTCTGCCGTATGTCACATAAACACGTATGCTCATTTTCAGCTAGTTGGTCTTCGTGGGTTGTAAATCAATGGAGCTGGCCTATTTGATCTCCAACCCACCAAGACCACCCAGCCAGCAGTGGTCACACACCTGAGATTCCCCCCTGATCCAGCCAATTGCATAAGGGTCATCTCACATCTGACGGCAGCATTACAAAGACCCTCCGCAACCTGGCTGTTTTGCCTTCCTAGTCTTCCACCCAAATAGGAGATTAAGTCTAAAGCGATTTAAGAGATTAGACCGGCAACATCAGCAATGGATGTTTCTTCATAAATGAAAGGGAGTGTATGAAGGCAATGTACGGAAAGATATGGAGGAATAAAGAGGATTTAAGGGAAGAAGCCCGTGTTACAGAAGATGCTGCATGAGCATTTAAAGGAAAGTATAGAGGAATGGCCAGAATGCATTAAACAATGCAGACATAGTTTCTGAACAATCATTGTATGAATGGCTTCATGTGGAAATCCTTCCTCCTGCCTGCAGCAGACCGATGACATCAGCTCGGCCTGTTAAAGAAAAATCTACCATTGATCATTAAAAAAGCCGTCCCCGAGCTCCAGTCCAGTGCCTGCCTCACGGATGGCTCTTCAATAATCAAAGGCAAAACATTTTTTAACAACTTACTGTTCCCGTCACGTGTCATGGTTTTATTTATGGACTTTTCAATTTACTGAAAGGCAAGTTTAAAGTTAATCTTTTTAAGAACTTAGGCAACCCGTGCTGAGCACATGACGAATAAAGACATAAGCGGAATCTGATCGACTGATCTCCTTGTGGCTCTGAATGAACCTGGAAGCGCTCCGTCCTGAAGCAGTAAAAGGCTTTTAGGATGTTATTTACAGTTTTATGACTCTTCGATTATTACTGTTTCAAGGCAAAATATTAAATGAACACATTTCTTACTTAACTTATTTAGAGCAGCTTTATCTTTGATCTTTGTTATCTCTGCAATTATATTGCAGGCACTAATAAAATGTTAGATTTACTTTTTTTTTTCTCCCTCTTTTTGTTTTTTTCTAAACCACTTTTTTTCTATACTAGGCAAATTTTGTTCTGGCCTTAAAGGAGAACTATGAGGTGAGTGCTTTTCACTCATCCTCATAGTTCTAGCCGACCTGGGACAATGAAGCTGTCACAGGTCGGCTCAGTAGATCGGGAGGTGAGTGAGCACATACCGGCGTTCGCTCACTTCTCAATCCTGTCACGGCAGAGAGCCATGACAGGGGAGGGACTGGATCCACCAGCGCTGACTGGCGGAATGTATGGGGAGGGGGTGGGTACAGCTGGCTCTGACTCTCAGTAGGCAGAGCCAGCTGTCACTCAGGCAGCTGGGTGGATCCAGACATAATTGTCAGGATCCGCTTCAGCTGCGGGGGCTCCGTATACCGCGAGCTGTAGCTCCCTATATACTGAGCCTAGGGTGACGGGAGGACGCTAGTTTGTGTCTTCCCGTTACCCTTAGGAGAACTATGGGGAAAAGCCCTGACCCCATAGTTCTCAGTTAAGAACTTATTTATAAGTACATGTGTTTTTAGATATATATTTTGATGAGTATTATATGCACAATATTTCACCTGGCAACTATTGCTATGGCCTTATACAACTATTTACAAACACACACAAGTGTGACACATAAAAAGATTTACTGAAAATATATTTATTCACATTTGCACTATCGTCGGATGGAAAAGTTAGTGGCGGGGTGGGGTTTTGGGGGGGGGGGGGCTTTGTCGCTGTCCTGCCTAGGGCAGCAGGTTTCCTAAATACACCGCTGCACACGGCACTGATGCATTGATCACGGGTGGAATGCTTCAAAGGCTTAAAGCAAAGTACATGGATCATACATTGTTGCTGTAATTACTACTCCTTTGTAAATGGTGGACTCGTTTTTAAGAGAGATGTAAACAGTTACACAAACTCCACCATTTAATATCGTTAGGCACTCTTAGAAGTGGATAGACAACCTGAGATTGCTGAACCAGGAAATATCGAATTGCTTTAGGGGATCAGGAAGGTTTTTTCCCATGTTGGAGCAAATTGGACCATGCTTTATAAGGTTTTTGTCTTCCTCTGGATCCACTCTGGATATAGAGTTGTATTTATGGATGTTTTCTATTTATTTATCCATCTTTTTTCTATCTATTGGTTGCACTTAGTTGACTTGCAGGTTTTTTCAACCTGACTAATTAGGTAACTATGTAACAGCATGTGAGACCAAGAAGTTGACATGATAACAACCATCAGTCTTCAGGTGACCTCTGACCCCTGATTCTCAATACTTAGTAAGTATAGTTAAAAAGGGGACAAATATGAACCTTTGATAAGCCTGCACAGTAAATATTTTGTCTATAAACATTTGAACACTTACCCCGACACTGAGTTCCATCTTCACTCACTTCTCTTCCCGGATTGCAGGCACAACTTCCGCTAGACACCATCCATTCCCCCTCTCCTCCACAGTGTAGACTGAGCCTCGTGGTCCCAAAAAGGTGAGCTCCAATGACGCAGCTGCCCAAGGCTTCAGCCAGTGATGCCCCTCCTTCTCCTCTGGATGGCGTCTCGGGGAAGGATGCCAGGCTCCGGACAGTGGCTGGGCACTTGTGAAAAAAAACTTTGACTCCAGCCAAGGAGAGGCAGGCCCCAGAATCCACGAAGGCCAAATAAAATCCATTTCTACGGACCGGCCCGAAATCTAAAGGCCTCTCGTCCATCCGTGGACCTTGCCCGCCCTTACCCGGGTCCCTACTGAAGCTTTTGCCTGCTCCAATGGTATCTACTTTCGTCCAGGCCTCCTCTGCCCACTCCCAGTCCTCAGCTTCCATGGCGGCATCGGCTTGTCGATAAAAAAGCGTGAAGGTCTCCCGGCAGGCCAGGTGACGTCTTCCTGGTGGTGGTCGTAAACTGGCGCAGTCTCGTACTGAGAAACGGAGGGTGACATGGATGCGTTGGGCACCGCGGGTGGCGATGTAACTGGTGCGGAGCCAGTTGCTCTGGTTGGAACGTTGAGCGTATGAATTGCAAACCTCGTACGTACGCAGGAGGCGGCGTTGGCCATCTAGGACGCTGACTTCATCCCACTGGAAAGAAGGACAGCCAAAGAAGAGTTATCTTATCCCTACATGCATCCATTTATTGGCTTTTAAACATGGATTAAGTATAAGAGTTACTCTTGTAGAACACCTAGCATTGCCAGATTTCCATAGGCTTGTGACCTCCTCCTCAGGCTGCACCTGAGCAGCCAATCGCTGCCCTGTAAGAAGCACAATGATGTCATCAACCTTGTGTAAGCACCGGCCACCCTCTGACATTACATACAGTTTGACTCCCGAGCCTACTGAAACAATGCAGTGGCACAGAAGGAGAGTATAAGAGGGTTGGTTGGAGGGTGGGGGGAATGGTAGTTTTCTAGAAACTCTATGAGTTGAAAGCCCCCTGAAAGAGACCTACATTGGGTAGGGCAACATAACAGAGTCTCTATAATGCAGAGCTCCAGTCTAGTTTTACATAGTTTGGGTATTGGTTTAAATCTCTATCAGGGTTGTTAAGCTTTCGGTACCCCCGGCTGGGGTAATTTTTGTAAACTTCTCAGTAAAAAAAAGAGTCTCTTACCCCTCCTTCTGGGTAGGTCATCCACCCAATTTCCGAGGTCTCGTAGGTTGTATCAAGTAGAATCTCTACAAAAAAAAAGAATAATTTGTACAATCATCATTAATAATGGTAAATTACTGTATGTACAGTATTTAAACTAAGGTTCTGATTGTGGAGGAGGCATTTTCATACACTCCAGCGTTGTCTACAACCAAGCAAGTAAAAAATCTATCGCCAAACTTCCCTCAGCTAGCTTGCATCCCTTATACTTGAAAGGAAAGTTGCTCTTGATGAACAGGCATTCAAGTCTATGGGACATTGGTGCACAGGCACGGACAGACGAACACTAGAATTTTACTGGCTGGAATGTATACCAGGCCCCCAGGCAGGGGACCACCAGCAGGAATCTGGGCCGCGGGTAAATACCAAACTTGCCCTTTAAGATGCCCATATCTTCCTGCCAGTAACTCCATGGCAGGGTCACTTCCTGCCAGTAACTCCATGGCAGGGTCTCTACAGCAGCTCCTCAGGCTTAACTGACCAAAATACAGAACAGAAATTTCACAGAGTTGCTGGTAAATTCTACTACCATTTCTAATGTTTCAAAAATGAATACATGGATTCCTCAGCTTGCTCACTGGAGTTACAATATGTCACCCCAGCATCCAGCTCTATTCTGGGCATCTTAAAGGGCAAGTTTAGCACTTATCTAAAAACTCCCCAGCATTTTGCTCCATTATATGCATATGGGCAACTTAAAGGGCAAGTTCGGTATTTATTGGACCTAAATGACCAGTATGGACTAAGATGACCAGTACGGACTACAAGGACCAGTATGGACTAAGATGACCAGTACAGACTAAGATTAACAGTACGAGTATTCACATTGATCCGAACACCAAAAAGTGAACCAAATAAAAATTTGTATCCGAAATCCAGAAAAAAAAGTTCTAATCGATCCGAAACAAAACTAGACACATTTTTTGAGCCTTTACATGATTATTGGTCTATTGTCACCCCATAACAGGAAGTGCCTGAGCAAGGACCTTCATGGCAGGATCTCCAGGGACATGAGATCAGCAGATTTACAGATATTGAGAATGACTTTTAAATTAATGACCTTCTCTGAGATCTCATTGGTCGGGTTTCCATCTCCTTTCACTACATTCTATCACTCAGATTTCATTCCATTAATTCTCTTTTTTCCGTCTCTCTTCTCTTTGATTCCCCTTCCGTGATAAGTTCTGCATTTAATCTGCTGGAGTGGAAAGTAGGTCATAATTCTATAGCAGCTGAGTCCGGCCCTGTCCTCCCTCTATACCATGTGACTGACGGACGCTGCTCTACGGTGTCAGCCATGCCTGACGTAAACCGCGCCGGCGCTCCCCCAGTGACGTATTCTCGCACGGAATATCATGTCAGTGAAATGTTTTTTGGCATTACGCTTCTCGTAGCCCCTGGGGGGGGGGGGGGGAAACGAGCCAACCTTCCGGGCG